GGGGGGGGGGGGGGGTCGTTTGCTGTAGGAACCAGGAAGACAAATGTAATGTAATGTAAAGAAGGAAGATGGTGGCATGGGACGGGACCTGTAGGAGGAGAGCAGTGAGAGAGAATGGCAAAGCTAGATCAGTGGACTTGTACATATGTTATTACAGTATAATAAGAGACCAAAATGTATTTAAAGGAGAGCTATGAGGTGAGTGATTTCCACTCATCCTCATAGTTAGAGCCGACCTGTGACAAAGAAGCCGTCACAGGTCAGCTCTGTTGAGCAGGAAGTGAGCAGAAACATGCACCGATCGCCTCCCTGCAGTGTTAGTCACGGCTCCCTGCAGGGATTCCCCTCTCCGATCCTCCAGCACTGAGTGGAGGAACAAACGGGGAAGGGGGCGGGCACAGCTGGCTCTGCCTTTTCATAGGCAGAGCCAGCTGTCACTCACGCAGCGGATTCTGTCCCGGCTGTGGCACTCTCAGTATATCGCGGGCAATAACTTTGGGTCCTCTGGTGACCCTAACGAGAACTATGGGGGAAAACACTTACCCCCTAGTTCTCTTTTAAGGGAAAAACAAACAGATACTTTTGTTTGGGGGAGTTTGACTTTTGTTGAGCAGGGTGGTACTTATAGGGCCACCCACGACTCGCATTTATTCAGAAATCATCTGAAATTCAAACCGTTTACGGCCAACATTCAGCCCCATTCACGCGTCCGCATAAGGGAGTCTATTCATTTCAATGCACGGCAAAGCAGCTCATGCAGCTGTATGATCTGCAATCTTTGTGCGTTTGTCGTACATCTTGCTTGCTGCATTTGGAGTACCATTAACAACGAATGGCACTGCAAGCATGACATGCGTTTTCATGTGAATGCACCCACCTTCCCCAGGGGCAAGAAAGCTACAAACACACAAAACTGCACAACGTCAAATCCAAACCCTTTATGGCTCCATTCACACCTGTAAGTTTAGGTGCGATTAGGGATTCCTGCATCAGGAACTTCCGATTTCCAGCAGCAGGAATCCTAAATCTGACGTTTACAAGTGGACTCTGTCACCTATTCAAGTTATTGATCGGCTGACAGCCGCTGCACTTGAAAGCGGAAGAACGCTTGCACACCGCATGTAATCATGTGTGATACAATTACATACGGTTAGGAATGGATCACTATCCCAGGACACATCAATCGTACGTCCAGGGTTAGTGATTGTTCCCTAACCGTATGTAATCGTATCACATACCATTACATGTGGTGTGTCAGCATTCAAATGCAGCTGCTGTCACCCGATCATTGACTTGAATGGGTGACAGTTGCCACTTGTAAATGGAAGATTAGGGATTCCCGCTGCAGGAAATCACACGTTCCTGACGCAGGAATCCTTAATCGCACCTAAAATATAGGTGGGAATAGAATCTAAGGTTCCGGGCTCTCAAGATTTCCCCATGCTCCATACATTACTGTTCAAAGAGCGAAGCAAAACAATACAAATGATGTAATCATACACCTATAGTCCATCATTGATATCATTATCTCTGAGAACCAACCTGCTATAATATACTGTGGGGGGAATTTATCAAAACTGGAGCAGACAGAATCTGCAACCAATCAGCATCTCTCTTCAGTTTGCTCAAGTAAGGATTTGAAAATGAGACAGAAAAGCTGATTGGTTGCAGTGCAAATCTGGTCCAGATTTTGTCTGCTCCAGTTTTGATAAATCCCCACACATACATAATTTTACACACACATTTCTAAATAACATACAGTATATATGTATGGAACATGCATTTCTAAGCAACTTGGGACTATCCTTTGCATTCAGGAAAGTTGCCTGCCCAGTATATCCAGCAAATATTAAAATCCCATTAATAATAGGGAAATAATGGAGCCCATCAGGCAGCCCGCTCTGTATACAGTGGGAAGCCTTTCACAGCCATACTGTGCCATCCCCATAGTCCTAAGTGCCAGCACCCACCTGGTGGCTTCCTTCCCAGTACGGGGGAGACTGGCTGTGGCTCAGCATGTTCATGTACAGGGATCTACTCAGGTGACTCCGCAGGTACCGGCTGCTCCACATCTTCTTCACCGCGGCCAGGCAGACCACATAGGTGAGCACCCAGCACACGAACGCTTTCATCTGAGCAGCGGCCACTGATGCTCCAGCCCGGCGCCCGGCCCATCCATGGTACACATCAGCCCTAGGAAGACAGACAAGGTGGGAGGAGAGCAAAGGTGGCAAGAATGAAGAGTAAGGGCGACCAGAGACAAAGCGGAACGCTTATTCATCAGCGGTGTTTCCACACGGAAAGTTTTCAACGCGATACACGGCCGCGCCAGAGAAGGCGCTGTGATCAGCAAGAGGAGTTACTGAGACCGATCTAGGCCAGCTTGTTCTCTACTCGCTGGTGCTCGGCGGCTTGTTGAAGGCTGCATAGTCTGGGTTGGTTAATGTAGATATTTAAGTCCTCTGGGAACTGAATGATGTTGAAGTAAGATTATGGAATAAAAATTAAAATATATCTAAAACCAAAAACAAGAATATAATATATATTTCAGCCTGCCAGCTTTTTAGATATAGTGACTGCATTAGTTTTGTATTTCGAGCTATGTACATTTTCAGCAAGCACAGGAAATACCTATTAGAAATCCAGTGTCTTTGCAACTTCCTGTGCACAGAAATTAAATCTTCAATCTTTTCAGCCCTTCCAGCTATCTTCTGAGAACTAGAGGACACCTCCTCTCTAAATAATAAGTACTAACACACATCCTGCCCTAGGGTGACAACGCTGCTCCTCTATAGCTGTAGGGGACATCTATCAAGCAAATTAGCAACACAATCCCAAATCAGGTTGCCAACTTTAAATTTACAAAAACTATATACTGTAATACTGTATATACTATATACTGTATACTGTAATATAATACAGCCCTTCTGGCAGAGGGTGTTTGATCCCCTCTTGCTGATAGACTACTCCCCGCAGCCTCTTCTCCCCCAGGCTCTGGTGGTCGAAGCCCCACTGATGTCATCATGTCTATGCAAGGTCCATTGACTTGCATTAGACGTGAGGATGCTGAGGAACATACCACAGCTGGAGTGGATGGGTATAGAAGTGACCGCAGGATTAAGGATCGGGTGGGTATATCTTCTTTAATCCATTCCCTAGATGCCCATAGGATGTATTTCCTCAATGCACTGACGCAATTTCACTCAGCGTCTGAACAATGTAGCATTGTCATTGCTTGCTGAAAGCAATGCATTATGGGCTATGTAGTAGGGCGGCACCAATACCGATTGTAGTATCAGTATCGGTGCCGATACAGAGTATTTGGGCGAGTCACCAGGGAGCATCACCAATCACCAGGGAGCAATCAGGAAGCCGGGGGTGGGTAATGACTTGCCGACTCCATGCTCCCTCGTCACATTGTTGACCACTCACCTCTCTCCCCCTCCGCTCCGTGGTATGTCTCTCGGCGTCTTCAGGTCTAATGCAAGTGAATGGACCTCGCATAGACATGATAATGTCAGCGGGGGTTAGGCCACCGGAGCACAAGGGGGTAAGAGGTTGCAGGGACCAATCTAGCAGTCAGAGGGGATCGAGGATCAGGTGAGTATATTTTCTTTAGTTGCACACCTAGAACAAAACAAGCAGTTAACCCTTGCAGTGGGGCAAGTTTTGACAATCCCGGAGTTACTCGTTAATACATTTTTGCATAAGATATTAGTTAAAGTTTATTGAGGACATACCATCTGTTATCACTGCTCTTTCTATTGTGGCAGACATATTCAATGAGTAAACACAGGGAGGGCTTGGACACTATTTGACAAGTTCAGCTTAACACAAAGTCACACTTGATAGAAAGACTGATTTTTCTCTGCTGGATTTTTAGGCATTATGGCTATGATGACAGCGATACATTGCAACTTTGTTCAGCTTCCCTCTGGAAATCATCAATTGCTACAAAACTGTCAGGAGGTTTCCACAGGGTAGTAGCTTGTGCTGCAGGGCCAGGGGAGTGGCAGTAAAGTATGCTGTGCAGGCCACCTGATGGCATTCAACCATGTCATTGGTAGCTAGGGAGCGAGCAGGCGTTCTGTCTGTCAACAATTTTCAAATATTTGTCTTAACATAGTATTAAACTCTCAACCTGTTTAAATAAAGAATCCAGATCAACAAATATACATAGCAAAGTAATACTATATATTTTTGCCCAAGCACTGACAATCATCTTATTGATGAAACAGCTGGCTCCAGCTCTCTCAGCTCAGCTTCCCTGAACCTCCTGTCCAGTACAAAATCACAAGGGTGTCAGGGTTTATTACCCTTCCTTATCAAGTTGAGCTGCAGCCTGCCTTCTGTGCAGTATGTCTGACACTTTTCATTCTTCTTTGGTGCCCTCTTATGACCAAACCCGTAAACACCATCAGTCTGCAGCTCCTAGCAACTTCCTGTCTCAAGGTGCCCACACACCTTGCGATAATCGTCCGATAATCAGGCGAAATCCCGCGATCGTATGATTATTGCCATGCGCGTGGAAGCCGTGCGACCTCTGCTACTGTAAGGTCGCACAACTCTATCTTAATAACATGTTAGAAAACCCGCCGAGAATCGTACGATTGTCGGCGGGTGTGTGGCATGTTCGTAAGATAAATTCCGCAAGCGCACACTGCCCGTTCAGCATTGCGGTCATCGGAAGTACGATCTGCCTAACTAAGATAGCTGACTGAATTCTTGGTTCCGGACTCCGGCTATTGTTTCCGTTAAGTGTTCCCTGACCTGGTTCGACTTACGACCCGCTTTGGCATCTTACCCCTGACTTGGCACCGACGACGTCATGGACTTTCTCCTTTGTTTACTGCCAGTTTGTTTATTGTTATTTTCAATAAACTTTTATTTTTTAACCAGCACTTTAAGATTCTGTTTGGTTTCTTGGTTCCCTGATGAAGGGACAGAGCAGTCTCCAGCAACTATTCATCTTCTAGCTTGGACAAGGGAGGAGGAAGGAAGGAGTGGGAGCATGGGAGTGGTTTGCCTTGCAGTTAGGGTTGCCACCTTTTCTTCAAGCAAAACCCGAACACTCTAGCGACGCGCAGACATTTTTTTTGAGTCGTGGCTTATTCATATGTAAATAGCGCTACCCATTCATAGGTAAATATCACAGCCGAGACTGTACAGTGGGGGGCCAGTAGCCTCTATCTTAATTTTGGTTGCCCCTGTCTGCCTGACATCTTGTGTCCGGGTTTCTGCTGCCATGAAACCCGGACACAGCATTCAAAACCCGAACTGTCCGGGTGAATCCTGGACAGGTGGCAACCCTACTTGCAGTGCCTGCGTGTTTGTGGAGACACACAATGTACTAGTCCAGTATGTATCCCACCAAACTCTTGACTGTTATACCCCTTAGTATTGGGTGCTAAAGTGATAGCGGATGGCGCCGTCCAGGACAATGCAGTAATGAACTGTCACCAGCACACCAAAGAGATATTCAAAATGTGTCTTTATTTATGAGCAGACATTTTTGTCACAAAGATAACCACGTTTCAGGGGCGCTCAGGGTCCCTTTATCAGGCTCATTTTGAGCCTGATGAAGGGACCCTAGACGGCCCTGAAACATTGCTATACTTGTAACAAAATGTCTACTTATCAATAAAGTCTGGTGTGATTTTGTTTGCAGTTAAGGCAGGGGTGGGGAACCTCCGGCCCTCCAGCTGTGGTGAAACTACAAATCCCGTGAGGCATTGCAAGATTCTCACAGCCACAGTAATGACTCCCAGAGACAAATGCATCATGGGATTTATAGTTTCACCACAGCAGTGGCGACTCTAGGAACAATATGTAGGGGGGGCACATAAGATACAACAGTCAAATCTGGGGGGGCACTAATAATTTTCATTGCATGTCGCAACCGCTGGGCACCGATGAGCTGATTTAATTGCGGATGGCATTGGGACCCCGCGGTTGTGACATGTAGTCCAACGCCGCCCACAATCCTGCATACCGCAACGGCCGGGCGCCGATGCCATCCGCAATTTAATCAGCTCTCGGCGTCCGGCAGTTGTGGAATACAGCATAGGCTGACTAGCAACTTTTAGCCCAGGGGGCAAGTACAACCCAGAGGTCCACGGTGCAGCAACTTAGCCCGCCCTCCAGCTCTGCCTTTTCCTCGCCTTCCCCCCGCCCCTGGCTCCCACTTTTGGCATCCATGTAACACTATTGTGAATGGTCGAGTGATGTGAGGACTGGTGATGGGCTCGGGCGTGTTCGCAGCTCCACGTGCCGAGCCCGCCAGGAAGCTGACAGCGCCGCAGCGCCAATGACAGGTACTGAGACATTATCCCAGTCCGCAGCTGCAGAGATCGGGATATGTCTCAGTGCCTGTGATTGGCGCTGTGGCGCTGTCAGCTTCCTGGCGGGCTCGG